CTCTCGAATGTGATTCAGGGTCAATTCTTTTTTCCTGAAATGACAAAAAATCCCTACAAAGCATTATTAATTTTTCAAGAATTTGCAAACAAATTATCAACTTCCCCCCGTATTAACTCTCCCGGACCTAACTTGACCGAAAAAACTATTCTTGGCTGCGCTTTAGGGTCAACTCTATCATCCTCAAACTTCAAAAAATCCCTACAAATCACCATTAATTTTTCAATTTTTCACAAATTTTCCAACAAATTATCGACTTCCCTCCGTAATGACTCTCTATGAAGTTAGGTCTGGAAGAGTCATTATTCTACCGTATTCCCATATAATCTCTAACTCTTATTTATCATTATTAATGCTAAGTAGGTACTCTTGAATAATACATAAATCATAATGAGAAACGCTTCAGCGTAATTTTGTCTTGGACAGGTTACCACTTGAAGGCATTTGCCATGCATTTTTAGCACACCAATCTGATTGTGTTTAAGCCTACAAAATTTTGTGAATATAATCGTAAGGGGAGTTTCACGTCATATATATATTTTTTTTTAAGGTCGTTTGCCCTGAACGGGCTACCACTGGAAGGCGTCTGCCCTGGACGGGCTACCAATGGAAGGCGTCTGCCACGTGTTTTTAGGTTTCTGATATAATTCCCAATCTAGATCTAATCATGCCCAAAAGATTTAATTTGTGTACTCGTAAGGAGGGTTTTTGATCAAAATTCCCTAATTTGGGGGGCGGTCACGGGAGCGGGCTACCACCCATCGCTGGCAGACGGGCGGTTTTTGTTCACGAATGATAAAGTGTTTCGAGTACTTATAATGAAAATTTTGTGCCCGATGAGGGGGTGATTTGACGCTGGGCCACCGGTCTAATAGTTGGAATTTCAATATTTTTAACCAGATTTAATTGGACGAATCCCAGGAATTTGTCACTACAAATTGTCACAATATTTTCACGGCATTCAGCGTAAAACTAATTTCAACCCTGGAAAACGATACCTCGTCCACCCTTCGTCGACTAGGTAGGTACACAGCACTTTGCAACCAATCCAATACCGGCATTGTTTTGTTTTCTTTTCAGTCAATGTGGTGGTATCAGTTTGTGGTATTTATTATGATTTTGTTTTTTTTTGTCGTCATCAAATTTGTGCTTTGTGTAAACAAGTCTAATCTGTAATGTAAACTAAACAAGGGGCGCTTTCTTTTATTCAGCAGTGGATCTAACAGTAATCAGTTTTTATTTGTCTAGCTCATAGAAAATAGGAATGTCTGTCTTATAATACTGGCAGCAGATGGATCCATTGCTGAATAAAAGAACGCGCCCCGCCCAAGTTGATTGGACGATGACGTGCTGGATTCACAGTGACAGAACAGATGCGAAATGCTACAGTAAACTGTAACATACAGTGCGCCATCTCGTGGTGTGTGGTACTGCGCCTCTTGTGGTCGATGACGTCACGCGCTCGTTTATAGTGAAATTCAAATTATGAATTTTAATTAAAAAAAATTTAAAGTTAGTGATAACTTTTGAACAACATAAAAAAACACGGGTCTCCTAGAAATCGATGTAGAATAATATTATGCAATAAAAAAAAAAAGCTTATTAAACACCGGATTCATGCCGATGTTATCAACGGTTTCATTAGGTCTGTTCGCACAGAAATCACAGACAAGAGTCGCTTTCCAGTGACGCATTTTAAGCAATCCTGGGCTGCTCTAGAGCGCGCCGACCATGTTAAGGCTAGCGATAAGTATACCTTGAGGTGACATTCTTCATGTAAAAATGTCTAAGCCTAGTTCTCATGGAATACTTATGGTTTCCTTAAAATGGTTGGTGCAAAAAGGTGCAAACCAAACAGAATACACACTCAAAGGAGAGCTTATCGGCCTCGTTGTCGGTAAAAGCCGCCATATTAGTTTTCAACCATTGCCGACGTCATAACTAAGTCGTCAGCTGTTTAAACAGCCTACGTCAAGGCGAGAAACGCCATGCTGCTTACGTCACAACTGGTTGTTTGGCGTGAGGTGTAGGGGGGGATTTGTTACACATAGGCCTTATGAGGATAGGCCATCCTATAGTAGTAGTGTGTATCATCCTTGGGTGCAAACGGCCATTAAAGTAGGGTGCGTTCCAGTGACACAAGAGTTGTTTAGTGCACCAGAGTGTGAAGCTACGGGTGTGGAGCACCTTAAAATTCGTCACTGGAAAGCGGCTCAGTCGAAGAGACTTTCATTGGTTGAAAACAGTCAGAAAACTAGTGAATTGAATGAAATTCACTCCGACTGGCTTGTGATTTCTGTGCTAATACACCTGTTAGTTGTTTGCGCCAGGGGCCTTATTCTGTAAGGAACGAACCGTTCGATTCGGTAAAATTTCTTCGATTGTGACATCATTTTCGGTTAGGTAGCGCGAAAACCAAACCAAAAATGACGTCACAATCGAAGAAATTCTACCGAATCGAACGGTTCGTTCTTACAGAATAAGGCCCCTGGGGCGAGTTCAGGAATGACACACCCAGTGTGAGTGTGACAACGGTACGACGCCCTAGCTGTTCAAAAATGCTAGACGCTGCTATGGGCCCAATGGCCAATTGTCAATTCAGGCACACCCATGGAATCGCACTCGCACCCTGTGCGTTATTTCTGAACTCGGCCCAGTGGTCGTAGTTCATCATACTAGGCAAAAAGGAAGATGCAAACGAGATCTGAAAAAGACTTCTTTCAGAATGTCAATAATGTATACTAAAACCAAGTACCTATGCATGAAGCTAAATCCAGTGGAATCATAGCCTGTAGCAATCAACACTGTGGTGCAAACACCCTATATCAAGATTCAAGGCGAGAAACGACCACTGATACGTTGGCGTGTAGGGGCCAGTGGGGGTGGAGCAAGGTAAATTACAGGATAGCTTATTCTCATAAGGCATGTGAAGATTAAATCTCGAGCACCAGACCATGCCAAAGCACCAGTGAAGACGTCAGCAGCATGTCGTCAAAGAATGTCGTTTCTCGCTTTGACGTACGGTGTTTGCACCACGGGTTATGATTCTGCGGGCTTTTGTTTTATGGATACTTGGTTTTGGTACATTCTAATAAAACTCTTTTTTAGATCTCGTTTTCATCTTCCTCGTTGCCTATTATGTTAATAAATTATAAATAATATATATCTTTCATCATAAATTTAAATTCTAAACTACGACCACTGGCGCAAACTGCTGAAAACTTAGTTAATGATGTCGGCAATGGTGCTACACTAACATGGCCGTGATTACCAAAAACGAGGCCGATAAGCAATCCTTGAGGGGGGCTTGAGATTTGATCTACACAGGCCTTATTATGAGCCATGAGGATAGACTATCCTGTGTTGTGTTTAATATCTTTGGACAAAACCGTTCCAAATCCATCCAAATCTCTTCCAACCGATGTTCAATCCTCGATGATTCCGAAGCAAAGCTTGCAGCTGCGTATAGAACTTTTATTACCGACTCCGGAACCATTCTAGAACGTTTTTAAGAACTCAAGTTGTATCAAATCTTTTATTTTACCGCGAAGGATTTCGGAACAGAACACAAACGAAGAATCGGACTTGATCTGGTTCTTGATCAACTTTTTTTTGATAGATTCCTAGAACTAGTAGAATTAAGCTCAAAATTGATCCGCAATTGATTCTAGCTGAACCGCGAGCAGAGAACAGTAAAATTGCGTAACTTTAGGGATCGGGGAACCACTCCAGAACGATTTTAAGAAATAGAGTTCGAACAAACGTATTATTTTAACGCAAAGGATTCCGGAACAAAGCCGCTTTCGGTGCTCCAGTGGACGGGAACGAGGAAAATAAGAGCAGCTCCGGAGCGCGAAATCGGCGCAGCCAAACGGGTCAAAGCCACTGGTCAAAGCGCAGACGAAGTACTTCGGAGTGTTCGGAGTAACTCTGGAATAGAATCTGTGGCTCACGAAAGCGGCTCTGGAGACTCATTGCAGGAAACGATGACTCGAATGGTTCTTGATTAGTTCCTAGAACTGGTAGAACTAGCCTTGCGTTCGGTATTTATTTTCAAAGAGCAGAGCGTGCTGAGCGTTACCGTAATCTTGTGACCAGCGAGCGAACAGAGCAGTTGAACGCTGAATCCGAGTGCCCGAAATTTTAATATAAACCAACGCGAATGAGCCTGCACCGAGTACACTTTTTAAATATGCGAACGGTAAATTCAAGCTCGGAGAACTCAGATCAAATTATCGAACGCACGGTAGTTCAGAATCGATCCGGTTACAATTCTAGCTGAACCGCGGACAAAGAACAATAAAATTTCGGAATTTTAGTGATTCGGGATCGGGAACGACTTAAAGTCTGGTTTATTTTTGAAGATATGTTTTTTTTTAGGTCCGAATCAGTTCGAATCCCATTCCCAATAGTTCTTTTCACGTGGCTCCGGTTTAACTAACCGGGTTACAAAACGGTTAGACTGGTTAGAGAAATGACATACCGTTTTCTAACCCGGTTACAAGGTGACGTGATGGATACCTACCACTCGAATTTGAGCGGTATGTTGCGGTTTACTAAACCGGAGCCATGTGAAAAGGGTTAATGACTTATTTGTTGCATGATAGAGAGATCCGTGTTCCGAAATCATTCACGGTAAAACAAAATTCTGAACTGGGTTCATATTTAAGGCGTTTCCGGTTGGTAAAATTAGTGCGAAGCTATTTCTATCTGTTTCTTTAACAGGCCGAGAGGAAGATGTGGAAATACACTTAAGTGCGCATTAAATATCAATAATTTGTTTGTAATTTAGCCGCTTTCCAGCTGTGTGCTTCAAGCACGGTGCAGCACAGTGTTCTGTGTTTAAAACGCAAAAGTTAGCAGCTCTCAAAGCGCAGTACGGCTGGAACACGAACACGCGTTTGGCGTCAGCTGGAAAGCGGCTTTTGTTCGGACCATTTGTTATCCATCGCGCTTCTGCCCTAAACCGTACGTCAAATGTCATCTGTCAGAATTATTCCAATTTTCATATGATTTTTGTTTGTTGACAAGTTTCTTGAACAAGTTTTCGGTTGTTTGAGAAGGATTTGGAGGGATTCGCTTTTTGCATTTGGCCAATTTGTAAGAAAAAAATAATTTGCTTAATTCGATTCACGTAAAAGTTTTTAATTAGATAATCAAAATGAGTGTGAGTGCAGCATCAACTACCACAGTAGCAGCAGAAGAAGAAGATGTGCAAGATGATGGGGGCCCTCTTCCAGTGGCCAGATTGGAGGTGAATATTTTATTTTATTTTTTTTTTCAAAATTCCTACCTAAAAATTTCCATTGCAGGGCAACGGTATCAATGCCGGAGACATCAAGAAGCTGGTAGAGGCCGGTTACCACACAGTCGAATCCGTAGCTTATGCCCCCAAAAAATACCTCATAACCATCAAAGGCATTTCCGAACAAAAGGCTGAAAAAATGTTGGCCGAGGCCTGCAAATTGGTTCCTATGGGCTTCACCACTGCTTCCGCTTTTCATCAGAAGAGAGCCGATATGATTGCTATTACGACTGGGTCTAAAGAGTTGGATCGACTTCTCGGTGGCGGCATCGAAACCGGCTCTATTACGGAAATGTTTGGAGAGTTTCGGACTGGAAAGACTCAGATTTGTCACACTTTAGCTGTTACTTGCCAGGTAAGAATTTATTTTGAGAGTTAAAATACCATTATTGAATAATATTGAATCAGGATTTCCAAAAAACTCCCAAGTTGGAAATATTGTATATTTTTTTTTTTTTGAAATATTAGAACTTTTCCGAGGGATTAATCACTCCCCGAAATCGTGTCACAAATTCGTCCAAAATCCACGAAATCACACTGCCTTTTTCAGTTTATACTAATACACAAAATTAAAATATTTGCGAAATCACCTGAAATTCTCCAAAATCCTTGGAAATCACCCGAAATCAACCGAAATTCCTCAAAATCACTCTAAATCACTCTAAATCTGAAATCTTGTCTAGTGATGTAAAATTCCCGAAACATTTAAAAGCCACAAAAGTACACTTTACGGACACACAAAATTTGCGTTTTCTGGATTTTATCAGAAAGAGGGTACTTCAAGTAGTTTATTAATAAATAAAAAATGCGGATTATCCAATATTAAAAAAAAAAAACAACTTAAATTGTTGAAAATGTGATATTCGCGATGTTGTCGCTCCATTCGCCAGATCTCGAAGAGAATATCCTTGAAAACCTAAATCCACCAAAAACCAGAAAAACCCTTTTTTTAAATATAACACCTTGAAATTTAAATTATTTATGAGTTTTCCATTGCTCACTTCACTCACCAAATCTCAAAGAGAAGATCCTCGGAAACGTAAATTTACGAAAAATGTGAAAAACCCTTTTGTAAATATAGCCTTGAAGTTTAAATTTTTTTTTTTTTCTTGGATTGCTTGCTCCGCTCGCCATGTCTCAAAGAGAAGATCCTCGGAAACGTAAATCCATCAAAAACCGGAAAAACCTTTTTTTAAATATAACACTTTGAAATTTAAATTATTTTTTTTCTTGGATTGCTCGCTCTGCTCGCCAAATCTCAAAGAGAAGATCCTCAGAAATGTATATCTACCAAAAACGGGTAAACCCTTAAATTAATATAACACCATCAAATTTAATTTATCTATTTTTTTTCTCAAAGAAAAGATCCTCGGAAATGTAAATCCATAAAAATGTGAAAAACCCTTTTTTAAATAAACACCTTGAAATTTAATTTTTTTTTTCTTAGATTGTTCCTTGTTTCACGAAAAAAATGTACAAAGAATATAGGTAGTTTAACGTGAACAAGCAGCAACTCAACACAGAGTGGAAATAATTGATTTCTCTAAAACTACTGGATAATCCGCAATTTTTTTTTTAATACTCCATAGAAGACCCTCTCTTCTAATGAAATTTAAAATTTTGCAAAATTCGTGTGTCCGTAAATTGTACCGGAGCCGCCGCGAACATTCTCGGAAACATTCCAGGAATATTGGAAACTTTCGGGGCGTATGAAAATATTGTTTTTTTTTTTTAATTTATAGCTAAATCAGACAAATCGTAGTAAGCTTTATTTACCTATTATTGTAGTGTACTGACTATAGACTTTAAACCAAGAAAAACAAACAAATTTTTTTCTGTAAGATCAGCTAAAAATTAAACTATGCAGTAAAAACACTTTCATGGATGGTTGAATAAGGCTTTAAAGGAAAAGCTGATCCGATTGACCCAATCTCTCAGCTCTTTATTTTTTATCTTTCTTCAATGAAGATTTAAAAAAAAAAAAGACAAACTGTAGGTATATCAGCTGGTGATCGGGTAAATCGGATCAGCTTTTCCGTAAAGACAGTTGGACTGGCTACGGCATCCACATAAATTGAAATGACGTCACTGAGACCTTGTATTCGTGATAATCTCGCATTTTTATAAAATTCTTCTGGAAAGTTCTTGGAAATATTCTTTTGATTATTTTTGATTGATAGTTTCCAGGAATATTCTCATTCAGGAGAACGTTTCCATTTTTTATCGGCGAATATTCTCGGAAATTTCCCAATGTTCGCGAATATTCGCATGGGAATATTCTCGACTCGCATCACTAATCTAGTCACAGTGAATAATCCCACGAAATCACACCGAAATCCTTCGAAATCATCCGAAATCCCTCAAAATCGCTCTAAATCCGAAATATTGTTACATTTTTCCCTTAGTGATAGAATAGCATTACATTGATTTCATCGGATTTGCACCTAAATCTTTTGAGAAACATATTGAATAATCAATTAGGAAATTATTCAGTAAAATCTTTTTTTCTTAGTTGCCAATTGATTGTGGAGGAGCTGAAGGAAAGTGTCTCTACATCGACACTGAAGGCACTTTCAGACCAGAAAGATTTTTGGCTGTTGCCGAGAGGTACCACATGGAACCACAGAAGGTTTTGGACAACATCGGCTATGCCAGGGCTTTCAATACTGACCACCAGACCTCATTGCTCATACAAGCCTGTGGCATGATGGCTGAATCAAGGTAAAGTTTAATTTTTGTTATTTTCAATTTCTGCTAGTGGGTGAGTTTAAAATAATTTACACCTAATAATCATCATTTTTTGATTTGTGCATATTAAGGATCCATGGTGAGTAGAAAAAAACATTTTAATGTACTTTTTACTATGTTATAAATATAAAATGAATAATGGTGCGTGCATGCTGAAGTGTTTAAAAATTTGGATTTTTTGAGCTTTGATGCATCTGGAGTAGTCAAGTAGAGTCTGTCAATTTCAATCTGATACTCCAAAGGAATGTGACCTAGCTCCCTACATTAGAACGTCAATGGTCACCTGACGTCACACCTGTTTTTGCCATAGGCTTCACCCCCTCGCTCCTCATAGGGAAAGTGTCAGATTAAAAATGACGGACAATAAGATGTGCATTTTACTTATCGTAAATATTATCTAATTATGAACAAAGCGCCTAGAACAGCAAACACAAATCAGCTGACATCAAATTCCTCGCCAAAGAAAATTAATGCTTTCTAGAAGATCTAAAGAAAGTAAGAACAGAGAATTGCGAAATGAAACACATTAAGCAAGATCAACCAAGAGAACTCTCAGAAGAAATCACTGACATCCACAAAAAACTGCTGGAAATATCTGTGACTAACTGCTGTATTAAAGAGAAACAGGAGCAAATACTAAGTAAACTGTCAAAAGATCAAATCAACAAGCCCAATCAAAACCGATATTCCACAAAACCCCAATAACTTATTATTAATGATCATAGTGTGAAGGGATTTGGTCTCATTTTCAAAAGAGCCAAACAAAATGCTTTTGATATCAACTATCAGTATAAGTCCAGTGCATTTCTAGAAGATGGTTGATTCTGTATGCCTCCTATGCAGAAATTTAACACTTGCTGATTGAGTAGTAATTTTCGGAGGACTTCAGAACGCCAAAAGAAGGATAAAGGTTGATCAAAAGATGTTCCAAATGCTGAAAAATATCAAGGCTAGTGCAGATCTAGATCAATCTTGGACAGTTTTATTGATCAACAAAGATTAGAAATATGCCAAGAACTTCCTACTTGACACACAAATCGGATACCTAAATCCCAACAGTTCAAGTTTGTTACTAACGATGATCAGCTGCACTACGCAGAGAAGGTATTCCTAGCTTCGGAAATAGTCAGAAAGTATATCACTCCTAGCAGAAGAATCGGAGACGAACATGCAACATCAATTAGTCCTAACACAGTAACAGGACCTACCTTTGTTTCATCACCAAACCGTAACGTCACCGGCTATTCAGGCAATAATCCTGAAACGCAGTATTCACGCTCCTCAAACAGGGAAACCCAAAAGAACGTCAGGGCGGCAGAAAGAAAGGAAGAGTATTCTAGTAACGCCCATACATCGCAAGAAACAAGCCCAAAGGGATACCCTGGAAAAACTATTATAGAAGAAAACAAGAACGGAGAAAAGTCTGGAACAAAGGCCGCATCGGATAGTAGAAATTTCCAATAGAGTCGTCGTAGGCAGCCACAAAAAGCCAACACAGAGCCTCAACCTACTCTCGATGGATATTCAGAGCATTAGAAACAAAATCGAGGAAATAGAGCTACTGTGTAGCTTACAATACCCAGAAGTCGTCTGCTTTACAGAGCATTGGATCATTACCAGCGAAAATATTTGCATTAGCGGGTACACAACAAGATCTATTTATGTTAGATCAGATCTGCAATGTCCCATGGGGGAAACGTTATACTTGTTGAAGACAATTTAGAAAGGTCGTTGGAATGCTGCTGCGTTGAAATAGAAGATATAGATACCTACGTCATCAATATTTAAAGAGCTCCCACAGAAAATGTCAAAACTAGTGATCTGAGGAATAGTAGTTTGGCCGAATAACCAAATACCGGATATTCGGCTGAATTTAAACCGAATATTCGGCGGAATACTGAAGTTATTAAAACATTTCAGAGGTATTACAATTCGCGCGCGGAAATAAAAGGAATCGGTTATTACCTGATAGAGTGGAGCATTTAGTATTTGTACATCATAACCTACCACTTATTGATTTCCAATATTGATTATTCTACCCCTTATGGTTTTACTATACTAATATTTTTTTATTATATTCTCTGTTAGGTTGAATTCTTTAACGCCAGAAGTTTGTTTTTTCATTTTCTTTAATTTTTTGAATTGATATTAATTGAAAATATGTTAAAAAATTAGTGTTTTTCACTAATTTCACCGAATTATCCAAACATGACATATTCAATAGTGAATATCGATTATCGAAGCAGGAATAATTAGTTGGCTTCGGTCACATCTCTAGTCAAAACCTTCTGCTCAAACCTGCATCAAATTTTGGTCAGCCTTCACCACAGAGCCAAGAAGATTGGTTGGGTGATTTCATTATAAGTTACATGGAAGACAGCCAAGCAAAAATAAGACTTGAATGTGTGTTAGCGACATCATATAAAAATGCATGTATCAAAAATAACCAGAATAAGCCAGTCTTCTTGCTCCATTATTGATTACTGCAGTACCGATTTTAACAAAGACCAAGTAGTTACCACTGTGAGTCATTCTGATCTATCAGACCATGAGATGATTATGTGCAATATAAGAAATACTTATGTAGGAAATAGATCGCAGGTGTTGACATGTAGGTCATTCTCCGACCACAACAAGAATTTGTTTTCTCAACGACTAAACTATAAATTGTTTAGGAAGAAAGTAAAGATACTTCTTGTTGATGAGCTTACTACAACATGATTGCTCAAAATATACCAAATATCCCGAAAATATGCAAATAGTTCCAGCCCAAACCTCATCTTCATTTTTCTTTGCACTTTTGCACGAACTACGACAGAAGAGATCAAAACAAGCCTGTCACACATAGTAAGCAAAAAGGCGCCAGACGTTGATGTTACAGTTGACGACGTACTCGGAAATTTACGACCTAATACTCTGCTCAATATAATGTCTGAGATGTAATGTGTTATGCAATTAACAACTCATTCGAGACAGCGGTGTTTCCCGAGTGCCTGAAAACTGCAAAAATCATACCTGTACATAAGGGTGGGCAGTGCTTTGATCCAGTCAATTATAGGCCCATATCATTGCTTTCCATTTTTTCAAAAATTATGGAAAATTTGGTGAAATCTAGGATGGAGGATTTCATAAACAGAAACAAAATAACACATTGGGGACAGTTAGGATTCCAAAGATGATAAAAACGGTTGACGCTGTCTACACACCATCCAGAAAATATACAAAGCCAGGGGTAACAACAAGGCAATCGCAACAATGTTTTTTGATTTGGAAAAAGCCTTCGACTGTGTTAATCACGAAATCCTTCTTCTTAAACTTGAGTGGTACAGATTTAGGGGTGAAATCAACAACTGGATAAGAAGCTTCTTAAAAGACCGCTAGCTACAAATACAAATTACGGATCGTGAAGGCAACAAAACATCAAAAAATGGGAAAATCAACATTGCGGTGATCATGGTGGTCCAAGGTTCCACACTGGGACCTTTACTATTTCTAATATTTATGAATGACCTACCGACCTTGTCTGTCAAAGCTACCTTCACACTCTTTGCGGACGACACCAGTGCAAAATGGTGCTCTACCGATGAAGACAACCTCCATAGCTGTATACAAAAGGATCTCTGCCAACGTCACAAAAACCAAGTATGTGAATTTTAGTAAAAAAGCCTTACGAAATTGCACAATGAAAATTGGAAACCATATTATACAAGCAGTCCGTGAATATAAGTTTCTTGGAATAAGGCTTAAATGTGATCTTAGGTGGGATATCCATATAAATCTATTAGCAAAGAAGTAGGCTTCAGCTTTGTTTGCAATAAATACCACAGCTACTTATATTGACACAACAGCAGCAAAGCAGATCTACTATGCTCTATTTAAGAGTCATCTACGCTATGGAATCATTCCTTGGGGATACTAGACAACATCAAATAATATGGAACTAATTTTTGTAATGCAAAAGCGAGCCATACGTATCCTGAAAGGCATTAAAAGCCAGACCACACATTTTTCCGAGAGCTCAAGATCCTCACCACATACAACCTTTGTATTTATGAAAGCTTGGTTTTATACATGCAAACATCAGTTTATATAATAGACGGGGCGATACGCATTCCTACAGTACGCGACAGAGTAACACCTTGCGCCTTCCACAGGCGAAAACTGAAAATTTTGATTTGGCTAGTCAGCTTCAAAGGAACCAATGTGTCATGTGTTTTATCCAAATATTTCATATTATTTTGTACATGTGTAATTTTTGTTTTTATTACTATCAATAAAGTTGGTAAAGCTCAAAAATCAGGGAACTTTTCAACATGATAACTTGGGATTTTTTCCTATTAATATGTTCAATGCATATTTGTTTTTCTAGATACTCTTTGATAGTGGTCGATAGCGCTATGGCCTTGTACAGGACCGATTTTATGGGCAGAGGCGAATTAGCCCCTAGACAACAGCATTTGGCTCGATTCCTGAGGATGTTACTTAGATTAGCTGACGAGGTAAACAAGATAATTTTGAAAATGAAGAGAAAGTTACGGAACATTTTTAATCCTCCAATTTTCCTCAACTTTCTCTTCATTTTCAATTTCCACGCTTTTCGGTTGTTGTAACCGACAAAACTTCATTCCTTTCAAGATAGTTTTGTTTTTAGCTCTAATTTGATTTATTACATTACAGTTTGGTGTAGCTGTAGTCATCACAAATCAGGTAGTCGCTCAAGTTGACGGTGCAGGTGGAATGTTTAATCCGGACCCAAAGAAACCAATTGGAGGAAATATTATGGCCCATGCTTCAACTACACGTTTGTATTTGAGAAAAGGTAAGATACATTTGTAAATATTCTGTTTCTTCAATGAGTATTTTTAGGTCGTGGAGAAACAAGAATGTGCAAAATCTACGATTCCCCATGTCTCCCAGAAGCTGAAGCAATGTTTGCCATAAATCCCGATGGTATTGGGGATGCTAAAGAATAATTTATTTTAGTTTAATTGTATTATTAACCCATGGCTGTTTTTCAATAACCATGAAGAAAATTTTTGTATTTTTTTTTTATATTGTTTATTTTCTTAATGACATTATTATTAACTTAGTTCATATTTTGAAGATATTTGAGAGAAACTTAATTGCAAGAAAGAATCTCAAGTACATTCCCTTACTAATAGAATTGCTTATAGTAATGTCATAAACCATTTTAGAGTTAAGTTGTGTTTAATGATGGGCTTATTTTTAAAATTTGTCTTCATAATTTAATTTGTTTAAAATGTAGAAATAAAAGATAAGTTTGGTCTTGCATTTTGCGAAATGTGAGGCAAGGTAAAATGGCGTACTTTTTTTTAATTCATGCCCTTTACGTTTCATTTCATTGGCGGGATTCAATTCTAAAAATACCAAGAAATTGCTGCTGACTGTAGTTCTGATATTCGTTTCAAATGGTATTTCTTGATTACCTCTTTAAAAAAATCTAATGAAGATGTTAGATAAAACAACCTGCTATGCTTTACAGTAATACTTATATTTTACCTTTGGTAACATTTAACGCAGAAACAATAAGTCTTTTATAAGATAATAAGTCTTAAATGAGCTTCAATTTAAATTTAATAAATATTAATTAGATAATTGAAAAATATTTACACAAAAATGGCAATTATCAAACTATATAAACCTGTAATAGAACATACCCTTACTGTAAATTGTTATAAATATAGTAAATCCCATTCTTAAAAAAAAAAACATAATGAGTAATAATAAAACTAGATTACCTATTTACCATAAAGTAAAATGAAACAGAAAGAATGTTTTGGTTTAAATAATAGGAATTTTCTCAAGACTATGGACAAAGGAACAAAATAAAACCTGTATAAATAAATTGAAGCGAAAAATTTGATGTAGATAGGTCATGCCCTACCTAGATCCTGCAATTTGGGGAATCAGAATTTTTTCAAATATGTATCACCATTTCTATTTCAGTAATCATATTTTTTAAGCCTAACCGACTGATTTCAAAATGATTCCACTGGCATAAGGGTTTGCAATCCCAAGGTCCAAAATTCCAGGATTGGAAAATATGTCCCAACTGTTCCTAGATAAAGATTTGTAGTTTAAATAATTTGTAATTATTACATATTCGTAGTAAAAATAATTCAGTGGGATTGAAAATCTATATTGGGAGTGCAAGTCCTATTTGCCTCCTAATTGATTTATTTATGTTTTTGCAGAGAAGCATATGAGTAAATATAATATGTATTATAATTAGCAAAAGCATTTTTGAATAAAAATTAGCAAATTCCCATTACTCAACCAAAACCTCCAAACAAGCTTAAACTAAAGGAGGATCATCGTCATCGTCCTGTCCAATCATAAACTCATCGTAATTCCTATTTCTTTGGCTAAACTTTTCCCTCAACCATTTCACCAGCTCGAACCTTTTACCTACATAAATACTACATATCACAAAGGCAATTAAAAATAGCGGAATTAAAATTCCGGCCACGAGAGATCCATTGCCCTGGTTGTCAACCAAACTGGAATAGTTCGGTGTGGTTTGCGGCAAGACGCATTGGTCCTTGACGTTTTCAAAGGCAGGCAAGCATTGGCAAATGTTGGTGGATTCATCACATGATTCGGTGCTTTCGCAGATTGGGTCTATTGCGGTCGAAGTGGAATTACATTTCAGACCAACTGGAAAATTGTACAAAAATATACATTATGGTTTAAATAGAATAGTGCAAGTTTGATGTTACTGTGATTATCAAGGTAACATCAAACTTGCCCTTATCATGGATTGATAATGGTAAAAAATTACATTTTTGGATTTTACTCTGAAAGTAGAATGCATTAGAAAAGGATTTTCAATGCAATAAGGTGCTATATTACTAAGTATATTACTATTAAAATTATTACAAATGTATAATAATAGTCATTTGTGGTATCACGTTTTCGGTGTTCAACTATAAATGTGAAACCTCGTGTAAAACATCAATCAATAAAATAAAGATAAGAGTTTTTTTGTCATTTTAACAATAAATGGGTTATTTCCAGTTGCTTTTAGTCACCCTTTTAATTGTTTTGTTATCTATGCCATTGCCTTCGACAAATATGTTGATTTTGGTAAAAGGAAATATTTAAATAAATTATAATAATTTTAAATATAATGGGAAAGCAAAACTGTGTCGTTTTCTACAGACTATATCACAAATAATTATATCAGCCGATTTCAATTAATCGATACTAGAATATTGTAAATATAAGAGTAAACATCAAAATAAACCACACTTTTTGCAAACCGCCAATTTGCCTATAATATAATTTTCTTTAGATTTGTACTAAAAATATTTTCTGAATTTGGATTTTGGATCTCACTTTTTTATTTCTTTTGAAAATTTATTGGGAAAAAAACCGAAGAAATCCCCAAATGCTTCAGTAATCCCATACCATGTCTATAAATGTTCTTTGTTTTGTAGAAGTACCTAATTCAATCCACAGTGGGACGATTATTATCAGAAGTTAGCCCTAATTTGTTGACCTGTATAAATTTGATTCTTTGCTGACTGAAAGAGTGTTTGAGTTTTCAGTTTGTTTGTGTAAATATATCAGTGTATATATTTTATTTATTTACCGTCAGTGGTTATGTTGCCCTATTTCTCTATAAACTTTATTGCTTGTTGCCTGGCATACCTAATGATTCAAAGATTGTTTTTAGCTGGTGACTTAAATATCAACTTTGGGGATTTGTATAACTTGGACACAGTGCTACTTTCGAACTTGTTACTTTCCTATGGCTTGGATATGCACATTGGCTCTGCTACGCGTATTATGTCAGCTTCATCAACTACTATTGATTATTTGTGTTCAAAAGCGGTCCTATTCCTTTCTAAGGTTTTTCTAGAGATAAGGAAATCACATAAGAATGTTCGAGAACCTTGGACATAAACTGGCTGGCGACTGTAGATTTTCCTGATTCACTTTCTTCCTTTTACTTTGTTCTACTCGATGCTTTTGTTACTGCCTTTGCATGGTTCACTTCGGATATCTTGCCATAATCTTCGCTGTTTGGGCCTCCTTATGAGATTCACTAATAATGCTGTCTTCATAACTTACTGTGAAAACTATCAAATTATCTACCACAGGCTCATCAGGGCAGTTAAAGAGAGGTATTATGCAAATATACTCTATTTCGCAAAGAACGAATCTAAAGATTTGGTTAATAATAAATGAGCGTTCTAGTAGACATACCCAGACCCAGACATTTAATACTGAACTGGATCCCAATACTCTGAATACATATTATTGTGGTGTTGCCTCTTGCTTAACTGCTGGCTTGTCATCGGATGCGAATCCAATTTCATTCCTTAGCAAATTTGGAACACCTTTCTCTTTCTTTTTCGCCCCTACCAATGTTTAAGGGATCAAAGAAGTTTTGGCTGATTTACGTAATAAAAACTGTTCCGGAAACGACGACTTATCTTCGAGAATATTCCTGGGTCTGTCTGACAACGCTCTTTTTGCCCTTGCCCTTGCTCTGGCAATTAACGATTCTTTTTCAAGAGGTGTATTTCCGAATTGTCTCAAACTGGCCATTATAATCAATGTCCCTGCATAAGGGAGGTGATATGGAGAATCCGAGGGGGTAACCACTCCTTCAAAAAATGTACACGTATTGCGACAACCCTATAATTTCCTCGCAGTCGCTGCGATTTTTGCGACTGTTGAGGATTGCCATGAAAATCGCCGTGATTTTCAAGGATTGTCATAGATTTCCTGCTGATTGTGGGTCTGCCAAAATGATTGTGAGACTGTCAAAATAATTTCTTGAAAATGTTATAGAATAATAATCTTGATAACAATGTAGTAGAATTTTCAAATAATTAAAATAGGGTATCGTTTATAAGTCAGGTTTCTGAAATATTACTTCCTATATTTTCGAGGAGATTGTAAAATTTTTGTCAACCTATTTAAAAAAAAAAAACACCCATTACAAAATCTTCAAAAAAATACTCTTCTGCGCTTTACAAGAAATCTCAACATTTTCGACCGGTTGACAGGCTACAAAACTCAATATTCTGGTATTTTCAATTGTCTTTCAATAGTTGCTATAAGGAATTGATGGATAACAGTACAGGAATCACTTTCCCGGCCTAGGGCGAGAAATTGATTCCCGTAATGCTGAAAATTGGAACAAGAAGACAAATATTTGAGAGATATTTAAGCAATTGCAGAAAAAATAGTATGTGTATTTCGGAGGAAAAGCACTTTCTCGGGCTTCAGTGTTTGCCTGGCATACTTATGACACCGTCGACCGAAAATGTGTCACTTTTCCACCTAAATACACAATATACTTTTTTTTTTTTATTTGTGAGTCATCCAACCAAATCTATTGGCCGAAAAAATATAAACTTCTACTTTTTCTTAACTATTTGAATATCGTCTTCTCTTAGCCAATAGAATTGGTCGAGGTCAGCTTTTAAATTTTTGATTAAATGAATGTGGCTCTAATTTTTCTAAAACTCTCCCAATTGCAGTGGCGACTCGTGGTGTCTAAGTAAAGGTGGGTGACAAAAATAAAAAACAGGCGTAGGCGATTTTTTTTTAGATTTTCAAGGCCGCGGCCTTTTCAAATATTGTATTAAAAGCATTTTTCATTTCTCCATTCTTTCCCCATATGGGCGAACCGCCACTGCCCAATTGTACCATGTTTCGTAAAACACTGCATAGTATTTCTCACAATGGATGTCTTTTGTGTTGGATATTTTGGATTGTACAATTTCTTCCTTGATTTGTTCATTTTGTCTAAGGAGTTATCTTAATCAGCCAATTCAGAATCTGGAGTGGAGTTGTTGAGGTGTCTATTAGGTCTGATTTAGAGTGTAGAGTAGAGACAGTTTTTTTTTAATGTTATGCTTTTCTCTCGGTTTCTCATAGGAGGCTGTCATCCCCCATTTTCTTTTCTATCAAAAAATAACCAACAGAGAGTGGACTTCTGACAAAAATTTCCCTTGCGTTAACAGTGATATTCAATATAGAAATATCATTTGTCTTTTTCATCATCTCATTAAAATGTCAAGGTTTGCAAATAAATCAAACTCGTCTCCGACTTCCGAATCTTCGATGAGAATTTCAGGATCTTGAACTTCCTTAACTAAATCTATTTGCAAGGAAATTTATCTAAAGAGGATTATTGTTCAGAAAGTATGATATTTAAGTCTTTGGTATGGGCTATTACATCAATTCTTGCATTTTCAAGTATAAGTTTGAGTTTGTCAATAGATGGAAGCTCAAGTTCCCAGCAGGGACGAAGCGAAGGCCTCTGGTTTGGGGGGGGTGACATTCCTAATTTTCCCAACTTTATTAAAACATAAAAAAATCACATGTAGCGAATGAGTCGGAGTATAAAAAGGCTACACAAAAGATAAACGCACATCTGTATTGACGTCACAAGGGTATCGGCGCTTGACAAGAGTAACCGCGCAAATACAATGACAGTTTTCACTTTGCAGGCAGATCCATAGTGCAGATAAAATGGCAACTGCTGCTTTTCAGTTTTTAGTTTTGTTCGCAAAACTTGTCGAATCCGCACGGCCTCAATTAATTTTCGAAACATTCAAATTCAAATTCAAATTCTTTATTGATGCTATTACACAAACATAGTGCTTACACAAGTCAAAAAAATATATATCAATCAGTACATCAATATTACAAAAAAATTTAAAATAATAAAACACTCAAATCTAGATCTATATTACATCACTTTGAAACAATCAAATAAGTTTTAAAAAGTTTAACAGTTATTTATATAAGACAAACAGACAAATAAACAAATTTGACAAATTTGGCACAGTTATAAAATAAATACTAATACATGTAGTTGATGTGATTATAAACAGATTATTGTTTTTATTTTTATTTCCTTCCTTGAGTTCCCAACAAATGCAATCACTCAGAATGCATCTTGTTATTCGACCAACTGAGTGTGGAGTTGTAATATTCATCCAGGGAGTAGAAGGCTTTACTAACAAGCATATCTTTGACTTTTTTCTTAAACAACGTGTTGCTTAGGTTAATTACCTGTTCTGGTAGTTTATTAAAAAGTTTAACAGCATGGTATCCTGGGCCATTTTGACATCTTTGCAATCTATGATAGTTAGGTCTTAAATTATTTTTATTTCTTGTGTTATGGTTGTGGATATCAATAAAGCTGGTATACAAGTTAAGATGGTTTTTAACATAAACAAGATTTTGCAGAATAAACTCTGATGGCAATGTCAATATTCTGTGTTTTATAAAGGCTGGTTTGCACTCCTCCCGGTAACTCAAGCCTGCTACCACTCTGACAGCTCGCCTTTGCATAGCAAAAACATTTTGAGCTCCACTGGCATGGCCCCAGACCAGCAAGGCGTAACTTAAGTGGGAGTGGAACAAAGAAAAATAGGCCTGTTTTACAGTCCTCAACGAGACACACAGTGATAGGCTTCTCAAAAGAAATACATTTTTACTCAATTTTTTTGTTGTTATTTCCGTGTGGGCATCCCATAAGAGTTTTTGATCAAGAGTTACCCCTAAAAATTTTACATTATCTTCCATGGGCGCAATTTTTTTAAGTGAAAATACGTACTTCTGAGTCTTGGCCTCATTTAAAAAAAGCTTGTTAATTGCACACCATTGCCCAGCCCTCGACTGTGCCTCGCCTGACAT